GGCAACGGTCGATGATTGAGAAAAGATCTGACAACGACCAAAGAATAGGTGGAAGCCTTGCGACGGTAGATGATCAGGAAGAAATCCAACGACAACAATTGTTGTTGGAGAATGTAAGAGAGCTCACTAGTTTGTTCTCCCCTTCATGTGAAAAATGAATGTTTATTTATAATTTTTTGGGTGTGGCATGCTTAGCAAATGTGAAGAAGATCTAGAGAAAATTTTAAAGTATTCCGTCAGGAAATTGATATCAATTCTCTCTATCAAGGAGTGTTATTTAAATGTTTATGAGTCATAACGATATCAAAATTAAGTGATATATCTTGGGCTCATTAGATTTGTCTTGTCGAGCTAGTCGATTCTACTATAACCATGTCATATTTGGATATCATTTAATCATCCAATTAATTCTCTGAATCTTTCAAATATATTTTGGCCCTTTGATTTGAGTCTATTTAGACTAAAATTGAACTGAATTTAGTGCCGCTGGATTCGTCTTATTAAGATGTTCAATTTAGCTATAAGTTTGCTGAAATTGACATTTATCATTGACAAAAATATATATTCTACTTTTGGGTTTGTTTTAGCAAGAATTAACCTAAATCCAGCTAAAATACAAAATCCAAATTTTTTAAAATCCTTCTTTGCATCCAACTCAATCCTCAAGGGTTTTTTATGCAGACTACACATTCTTGCAGGACATTATACCGCCTATTTCCTCTCCACTACTAACGTTTACTGCTTATTCCATTTTTTGTTAACTATAGTATTGTACCCTTTCTATTTTTGATTCCTTGCATTAAGTAATTACAAGTATTTCTGAAATTACTAGTTGTATTGGAAGTATAATGGAGATTAGAATAGATCTTAACCCAAAAATTATTGTTTCATTGGCCTATTCTGTTTTTACTTTTGTTCCTTCAAGAGTCGATGCATCAATTTTGGTATCAGAGATGGCTTTCCGTAGTGCTGGCGAAAGGAAGCAAATACTCTAGGCCCGACGATGATCGGAGTTTGGAAGCGTTGTGGGAAACACATCATCACATCCAAACAGCTGGATGAACTTATATATGCTTTTGCTCATTTTTTAGATAAAAGGCATGATGAAATGCAGCAAATCAAGGCACCTACCAACCCAGTAGCTCACCCTTTCGCTTCGGCAACCATACCGACGCAGAGAGTTCTTGCTCGACCTAGCACCACACAAAGGAGAGCCCTAGTTTATTCCCTGAAATTTCATATTTGGATACCGATTATAATCTCAGGCATTAATTATCCGATTTTGAAGAAGAGGACCACTGTCAGTTGTTATCAGTTGTTCGATAGAGTGAGGCATTATAGAACCCATCGCCAAGGATACGAAGGCTTCTACATCAAATTGGGTATTCCATTTTTTTATGGAAGGCTTCACATAGAGGACTATTTTGATTGGGAAAGGGCATTAGAAATATTTTTCGAGTATATATATGAAGATTACTCAGGATAAACAAGTTAAGTATTTAGCTTGTCGACTTAAGAGAGGAGCAGTGCATGGTGGCTTCAATCGCAGCAAAGTGGACAGAGCCAAGGCAAAGGACATGTTCTCAATCAGCTCTGCATGAAATAATTATTGAGGGGAAATTCACATCACCATTAAATACATGTTCCCATTCTGTGAATAAACGATAAATTAGATTTGAGAAGTGATTACAACCAAATTTGCATTTGACCTTGCGACGAGAGTGGAAGATAGGTTTCAAAACTCATGAAGATTTATTTGAATGGAAGGTTATGTGCAACATCCCATTCACTTTTATGCATCTTATGCATGAAGTTTTAAAACCATTAATAATAAATTCCCCATAGTCTATTTTGATGACATTTTAGCTTTTAGCACCTCATTTACAGATCATCTTGACCGCTTGAAGCTTATTCTTAAAGCTCTTCGCATCAATAAACTATTCCTCAATGTCAACAAATGAGAATTTGAGGTCGCAAGTATTCATTTCTCGGCCTTTGTACTAATGCCTGATGGTATCCAAAAAGCTACTCATAAGATCTCAGCAATTCAGGTATGTCCTACCACTCGATCTTTAACGCACATCTGGAGCATCCATGGCTTAGTCAATTATTATAGCAGTGATACGTCCTAAAAAACTGTTTTGATCGAGCACGAATCTCAATGTATATTTAAGTTGGAAACTTTCATCACAACTTTCTTGGGATTGGTCATAACATACAAGTAAAAAGGAGCAGCTAAATAACTCCAGCAATGGTGAAAGTACGTCCGATTCGACTAATTTGAAAAATAAATACGATTAGCAAAAAATGTAGTGGAACAAACTAAGAACTACATCGAAACAGAATATATTCAAATATCAAGACAGATGAGATTAGCCATGATTACCATCACAGTTCATATAGCATTTAAAAAGATTAAAGACGATATCAAAGTGCACAGAAACGAGGAAAAAAAAAACGAGGACAATAATAGAAAACATGTGACAAATCCCCATTGTACTAGAACTTATCAAGGCCAGAGTACGATACGGCTAAAACGATAACCATTCCAAATCTATAGATCATAGCGACGACACAAGAACGGAGCAGGACTGCCATTCACTGCCCACCGCGAAGGCGAAGAACGAGGTGAAGGGTTGATTCTTTCTGTATATTGTAGTCCGCAAGCGTGCGGCCGTCCTCAAGCTGCTTACCAGCAAAGATGAGCCTTTGCTGATCCGGCGGAATCCCCTCCTTATCTTGAATCTTCGACTTCACATTCTCAATTGTATCCGAGCTCTCCACGTCCAGGGTGATCGTTTTACCAGTAAGAGTCTTAACAAAAATCTGCATTCCACCACGAAGGCGGAGCACAAGGTGAAGGGTGGATTCCTTCTGGATATTGTAGTCAGATAGGGTTCGGCCATCCTCAAGCTGCTTACCGGCGAAGATTAGCCTTTGCTGGTCCGGAGCGATGCCTTCCTTGTCCTGGATCTTCGACTTCACGTTCTCAATGGTGTCGGAGCTCTCCACCTCGAGTGTAATGGTCTTGCCTGTGAGGGTTTTGACAAAGATCTGCATCCCTCCCCTGAGACGGAGAACAAGGTGGAGTGTGGATTCCTTCTGGATGTTGTAATCGGCGAGGGTGCGGCCGTCCTCAAGTTGCTTCCCGGCAAAGATCAGCCTCTGCTGGTCCGGTGGGATGCCCTCCTTGTCCTGGATTTTGGACTTAACGTTCTCGATGGTGTCCGAACTCTCTACGTCAAGGGTAATAGTCTTCCCTGTGAGAGTCTTGATGAAGATCTGCATCCCTCCCCGAAGACGAAGAACGAGGTGTAGGGTAGACTCCTTCTGGATGTTGTAGTCGGAGAGGGTTCGGCCGTCCTCAAGCTGTTTCCCGGCGAATATCAGCCTCTGCTGGTCCGGTGGGATTCCCTCCTTGTCCTGGATTTTGGTCTTAACGTTCTCGATCGTGTCGGAACTCTCCACCTCAAGGGTGATTGTCTTGCCGGTGAGGGTCTTAACGAATATCTGCATCTATACAACACCGGAGAGCCTCGAAATATTAGATCAGACAAGAATACCACCACCACAACAACGGGATCGAATGACATCAGAATAAATAAATGAATATTAATTGCTAACGTAAGCAACCATAAAATAAGTAGTCAAAGAAAAATATCAGACCAAAATGGTTGAAGCAGATATCTCGAAGCAATCAAATTGAAATCAAAGAAAAAAGACACAAATCATCCTTAAAATAAATCTTGATCTAGTCCATTGAGACTTTGAAGAAGAAAGAGGCTCTTAAAAAGAGGAAATCAGCGAAATAATAATAACAAATCTTAACCAGAGAGGCAAGAATTTGAAAACTTCAATGACAAACATTAAAGGCTGACGTCGCAACCCTAGCATATTAATCTATAAATAACTTACAAAATTTGATCAAAAATATTCATTCAATTCTCAGAAGAAATGCCAGACCAAAACTCGCCTAAAAAAATATCGAGAGGAGAAAAACAATTTGAACCAAAGAAAACGAAATATCCGCCGAATTCCTTACAGAAGGAAGAATGAATCTTGAAATATCTTCATACTTCGAAAGATATATCGAAGCCAGAAAAGTTACCTTGAGCGAAGATCGGAAACCTATCAATCCACGCGAGAAGATTGAGAATGACTATCGATGGCCGTCTTGTAGGTTTGTGATCCTTTTATAGCAGTATTAACCGACTCTCTTCCGTAATTATACGCAACCGGTACGATTACCTCCTTACGAAACCGGCGGACCTTTCGCGGATTAGGCTGTTTATGAGTTTATCTATTGGAATAATTGGGAGGTATTCACAACAATCGTCCGCGGCATGCATGGAAGACGGTTAACAGCAAGAAAATTCTAGATTTTTTTTGAATGATTTAAAATTATTATATTTTTGAGATATTTTCTATTATTTAAAATTTTTAAACAGTTTCACAATTTATTTCCTAATTAGTTTATAACTTTTTTTCTTTTAAATCATGACGAAAAGATTT